AGCCAGTGCAACAGAGTGAGACTCTGTCTCTTAAAAAAAAAAAGTAGGCCATTAGAAATTCACTTTTTGTTGCATCAAAAATCTACAGGTGGATTTTTTATTACATGGGGAGCATTGCCTCTAACTCCTGTGTTGTTTAAGGTTAGCTTTGTTATTTTCTTTTCTTCTGCTGGCTTTGGGTTTGTTTTACTCTTTTTTTCTAGTCCTTGAGTTGTGACCTTTAGTTGTTAATTTGTGCTCTTTCTGTCTTTTTGATGTAGGCATTTAAGGCTATAAACTTCATCCTTAGGACTGCTGTATCTGTAGGCCATAGATTTAGAAAGTTTGTGTCCCCTTTGTCATTCAGTTCAAGGAATCATGTGATTTCTGTCTAAATTTCCTCACTGATTCAAGGATCATTCATCAGATGGTAATTTCCATGACTTTGTGTAGATTTGAGTGTTTCTCTTGGAATTGGTTTTTAGTTTTATTCCATTGTGGTCTGAGAAGAAACATGGTATGATTTACATTTTTTTTTTTAATTTGCTGAGATTTCTTTTGTGGCCAAAGATATGATCAATCTTGAAAAATGTCCCACGTGCTGATGAGAAGAATATATATTCTGTAGGTGTGGAATAGAAACTTCTGCAAATGTATTATATGTTAGATCCATTTGTTGTAGTCCTATTTAAGTTCAGTGTTTCTTTACTCATTTCTTGGTTTGATGATCTATCCAGTTCTTTGAGTGGGGTGTTGAATTAAGATGCTACTGTTTATTTTTTCCCTATAGCTAGTAGAATTATTAGCAACTGTATGAATCTGGAAGCTCCTGTATTAGGTGTGTATATATTTAGCATTGTTATGACATTTTCTTGGATTGCTCCCCTTACCAGTATATAATGGGACCATCTTTTTTTTTTTTTTTGAGACAGAGTCTCACTTTGTTGCCTGGGCTAGAGTGCTGTGGCATCAGCCTAGCTCACAGCAACCTCAAACTCCTGGGTTCATGAAATCCTTCTGCCTCAGCCTCCCGAGTAGCTGGGACTAGAGGCATGCACCACCATGCCCAGCTAATTTTTTCTATATATTTTTAGTAGGCCAATTAATTTCTTTCTGTTTTTTAGTAGAGACGGGTCTCGCTCTTGCTCAGGCTGGTTTTGAACTCCTATAATGACCATTTTAATCTTCTTTTTTACCACTGCTTATTGAAAGTCTATTTTATCTGATATGACAATGGATACATCTGCTAGCTTTTGCTTTCCATTTGCATAAAATACTTTTCCCGTCCCTTTACCTTGAGTTTGTGTGAGTCCTTGTGGTTTAGATGTGTTTCTTGGAGATAGAAAATATTTGCTTTGTGTTTTTTTATCTATTCAGCCAGTCTATGTTTTTTAAGTGGGGCATTCAGACCGTTCACATTGAGTGTTGGTATTGATATGTGCAAAGCTGTTCTGTTCATCATGTTGGATGACAATTTATTGTTTTGTTTTCTTTCTTGTGCTGTTGTTTCTTAAGAGCTATGAGCTTTAACTTCAGGTGTTTTTACACTGGTGATTATCTGTTGTGCTTTTGCATGTGTAATGCACTTTTGAGCATTTCCCATAGGGCAGGCCTAGTTGTGACAAATTCCCTTAGTGTTTGCTTGTCAAAAAAAGTCCTTATTTCTCCATCATTTCTGAAATTTACTTTTACAGGATACAAATTCTTGCCTGGTACTTGTTCTGTTTAAGATTAAAAATAGAGCCTCAATTCCTTCTAGCTTGTCATGTCTTTGCTGAAAACTCTGCTATTAGCCTAATGGATTTCCCCTGTAGGTTAGTTGTTGCTTTCACCTTGCAGCTTGTAGAATTTTTGCCTTCATTTTGACTTTGCCCAGGTTGATGACTAAGTGTCTTGGGGTGTTGGGGACCGAGGCCTTTGAAGTTCTTAACCCGGAAATACCCTGAGCAGAAAATACCCTGAGTTGCCAAAAAGTGCTTAACGACCGTTCCAGGAAAAAACTGCAAGATATTCCAGGCTTGCTGCCTGAGGCTGTTTGTAATTGATCAACCCTAACCCCCCCTGCCCCTCCCTACTTCATTGTTTCTGTATGCCTATAAAACCAACAAAGGATCTAAGTAAAGCAGACCTTGACAACTCTTTGCTTGGTCTCGTTCCTTTCTCTCGCCCATCTCTTTCAGGCACAGTCCACCTTGACCCCACGAGTAACAGAAGGTCCCGCGGGCCGGGACATTGGGGATATCCTATTTGCTATGGATCTCCTCAGAGTTTGATGACCATCCTGTATCTGGATATCTGGCTCTCTGGTGATACCAGGAAATTTCTTCCCAATAATTTCCTCAAAGAGGTTTTGCACGCTTTTTGCTTTTTCATCTTCTCCCTACAGGATACCTATAATTCATATACTGGCTTCTTTCATGTAGTCCCATATTTTTCTGAGTGATTGTTCATTCTTCTTTATTCTTTTTTTGAATGTTTGACTGACTCAGTTATTTCAAAGCCTTGTTTACAAGCTTTGAGATTCTTTTTTCTACTTGCCTGTAGTAGAAGGTTTCTGCTGTATTTTGTGATACCTTAAATGAGTATTTAATTTAAGTTCAGTCATATCTTTTCTTATGTTGTCTATATCTTTAATGAGTTTTTCATATTTTCCATTCATGTCTTGAAATAATTTTTTGGTTTCTTTGTGCTGGTTTTCAACTTTCTCTTTAATCCTACTCCTCTTATTTGCCATCCATAGTCTGAATTCCATTTCTGACATTTTGATAATTTCCTTTTAATTGGTGCTCATTGGTGTGGATCTGTCATGGTCACTTGAGGGTGTTTTTTCATATTGCCAGAATTCTTTTGCTGGTTTCTTCTCATCTGAAATCTTTCTCGCGGGTTAAGTTTGGTAGGTTTGTGGTATACTTGTTCCCCTTTGCTGGGAACACTCCCACTTAATGAGAAAAAGAAGAGGTCCCTAGATAACACTTCCATGTTCAACATTAGAGGAGTGACCCAGTGAGAGAGAGGCGGGTGCACTGGGCGCCTGCAATGAACCTTAATGAACCTATTCTTTTGCCTCCATCCATTTTCCTGTGCTTGTCACAGTCCAAGCCTGTGCTGGGCGATATTTATTCAAATTTGTGGGTCGGTCCTCAGGTCCTGTTGGAAGCACTTGACAGGGTAATGCAAACCCCTGTCCACAGAGGCAGGTGTGGTGATTTTCACCAGCAGCTGGCAGGTTCACAGGACCAGGGCAGGCACCTGGATACATCACACCACTGCACCTGTTGATGGGTGAGATCACTGGACTGTGATCAGTGCCTGGGAATGCTGTAGATCCTTAGCCAGTGCTTGTGCTTGTCTTGTAACTTTGTCGGGCAACTGCATGGGTTGTGGTTCTTTGGCAGGAAAATGGCTGGATGTGGGACTGTGTTGGTTGAACTGACACACTGAGTGGCCTTGGTGGGCACCTGGTTGGGTTGTGGGATCTTGGCTGTTGCCTGCATGCATCCTGAGACATTGGCGGTCACCTCTATAGGTTGTGGGACCTTCACAGCATCCTGATGGGATGCAGGATTTGGTGAGTGACCCTATGGATCAGGGGACCTTGGCAGGCAGCTGGGAAGGTTGTGGGGCCTTCACAGGTGACTGTGAGACCATTACTGCTGGTGAGATGATTCACTGGACATTCGTGAATGCCTAGGTGCATGGCAGGACTGCAGCCAGAGGCAGGGCATGTCAGGGGACCTTGATGAGTGCCTGCATGGTTTGCAAGACCTTGGAAGGTACCTGGAAGGGTAGGGGGCCTTGACTGTGCCTGGATAGCTTGCAGGTCTTTGGCAGTTGCAGGGTGGCTTTTTGAACTGCAATGGCTGGGTGAACTCTCACAGGTGTCACATGCCCAACTGAAGAGGTGTTGTGGCTGGGGCTCTCTCTCTACACAGCTCTGCCTGTGGCAGGTGCTCTGGTGCTACTCAGGTGGTGGCAGTGGCACTATGGATTTGGTGAGGTTGCAGCAGCAGATGCTGAAGGCCAGTAGGTGCCTGCTCTGCCTGGATCTCTGGGAGGAGATCAGTGGGAAGGTTAGGGGGGTGCATAGCACTCAGTCTCAGTGCATGTGAGAATGCCCCACTCTCTGCTCCTTCCTTAGCCTGGCAGGGGAAATGGGGAATTTCCTGCAATGGGGCTGACCCCTCTGCAGACCAGGCATTCTAGGGCAGGAGTGTAGGGTGGTGTCTATTGCAGCGACCTGAGACCAGAGTTGACAGGATGCCACTGTGTTCTCTCTCTGTGCAATGCTGCTGCCCAGTCTCCAAGCAGCTCTCTGATCTGGTCCAAGGCCTGCTGTGGTGGGGGAGCCCCCTCAAAGTTTGGGATACAGTTTCTACTGGGGAAGCTGTCCAGTTTCTACTGGAGCCCCAGGATCTATTTCCCAAACCTTCCCTACTTGTAGGCTCTTTCCTTAGCCACCTTCTGATCTTGCCGAGCTTATCACCCTGCCTCTCTCTCCCCCACTTCTGGTATCTCCAGTGGATTCTTTGATGACTCAAAATGCTTGCTCCTATGTGATCCACTCATGGGTGAACTTGTACCTGCAACTTTTGATCCTCTCCTTGAGAGCAGTGAGTGCAGGCTGCTTTAGTCTTCGACTTGGCCCACATTCTGCCCTTCCCTTTTATCAAATCTCAATTACAGCGACAAAACATTCCCAAATCATCTCCATCATGTAATGTTTCCCTAGCTAAATCAATAATATATTTGCATCATGAATAAGTGGGGGTTTTTTGTGCTATGAAAAATGATTTCAGGAAAATTGTGTCTACTATACAATAATAATGACTGCAAAGTGCCAGCCTCCTAGGTAGCGTGTTGTTCTATTCAGTCCTTTGTTTCTCGCATGGCACAGTGGGTGCTAATAGGGACCATGGATCAGGACAAAACCAGGGAGTGAACAGATCTCAAATGTCAGGATTCTCCTCTCTGTTCCCACCATAACCGCCCATATAGGCAAAGAAAATGGAGATTGTCCATACCTGGAAGACAAGAAGATGACAAATATGGGTATAGACACAGTCAGTTGCAGTGTGCGCCAGTCTTGAATGACAAAAGCCAGTCCTCCCAGGAGCATCTGCCCGACACTGGAGGCACATAATAGCAGTGTTGTGACCATAGATCGTGACTGGGGATTTGTCCATTCTATCACTGGAAGAAAACATACATGGCAATAGTAATATCAGACAGGGTAATTTCAAGATCAATTCAAGGCACAGAGATAATGAAAGACTTATTGTTGACTTACCGAGAAGAAAGCTGTGTCCCATAATAGTCATGACACAGGACCCTGCCAAGAAGCGCAGTGAGCAGTAAACGGAGAAGGTGGGAGCGAAGGCTGCACAGGTGTCGGAGATGGCCAGCTGGAGTAAGCACCAGCTGCAGATCATCTTCCGTCCAAACCTAAGAAATATTGTACCAGGTAAGATAATTCAGGCACAAAAATAATGTATGGAAAACGTGACACAGAGGACACATCCTGAAATCTAGGATTAATATTTAATGAGTGGGACATTGCACTTGACACCTGGTGGAATAATGTTTTTAGTCCACAGCAGAAATCATAGATGTATCCCTCCCTATTTCTCGGGATGAGAGTGTTGTCAAAGCTCTTATACTCTCACACCAAACTGTCGCCGTGAGGACTCTGATGCCCTGTGACACTGTGTAAAAGAAGCCGAAACGGGATGTTGTAAAGAATATTAGTTATAAAAGCATACACATTTAGGATAGTAGATTTGTGCATTGTGTTTAGAGCACTAAGGTTTGGAATCAAGAGATCAGCGTTTGGGCCTCTGCACTCTCAAGGTTAAGGCCAAACTTCCTTGAAAGTCAGAGAGAAAAGGCAGCAAATGAAAGTTGCAGATAGACCGTACAATGGCCATGCTCAGCTGTGTCTGTGTTTTAGCCCTTGGGAAATGAGGTTCAGCTCAAGGAGAATACAATTCACCCAGTGTTGCCTTCAGTGCAGGACTTGATAGAAAGTTCACAGAGGAGAGGATGAGGGGTGAAAGAGCAAAAGGAACAAAGAAGGGAAAGATGAACAAAAAGAAAAGGGAATTATGTGTGTCGCAGAGTGGCAGGAAGGGGACCAAGTCTGGAGTCAGTTTTGACTAAGTTACATGCATTGATACTGAATTTCCAGTAGCAGTAACACATGAACAAACTCTAGTTTTAGACGCCTGTTCTGTGCCATTTGTCACTTTAGCAGCATATGTAAGTCATTATAGGTCTTCTAGAATGTTTAACTTTCTGAGCGTTTATACAACATAAGTTTTATTACTAAATTTTTATGATATACTCAGAATAGAATAAAATTCTTTTTAAAAAATATATGATATAAGACATGATGGAGAGGCAATCACTGGGAATCTAAGAAATAAAAACATAGTAAGTACAACAAAAATCTATATATCCTTAGTAAATTCTCATAATTGTGGTTATCTGGGTTCAGAGGGAAGGACAAATAGGTGTTGCACAGAGAATTATAGGGTAGTCTAGTGGTGGATATGTGACCTTATGCTTTTGCCAAAACCTCTAAACTGTAGAACATAAGTTCTACAGTGTGTAGAAGTGTGTAGGAGTGTGTAGTTGAATATCACTAGATATCAAGGTGAAAAAAAGTAAAAAAAAAAAAAAAAAGGAAAAATTTATAAAAGAAAAAAAAAAGGAATGTGGCCTAATGTAAACTATGGACTTTAGTCAATAACATATCAAAATTGGTCCATCAATTGTAACAAATGCACCACACTACACCAAGATACCAATAATATGGGAAACTTTGAAAGAGGAAGTATATTGAAGCTCTCTGTGCTTTTACTCAATATTTCTGTTAACCTACAACTGCTATGAAAATTAAAGCCTATTCATAAAAAAAATTCTCATAGTAAAGACACACACATCAAGATGTTAACATTAGAGATTGGTGTGGTGTTAGGGTTGTTGTGAGAACCAGGGAATCTGTCACTGGGAGTGACAATGGGAAAAACACACCCAGGACTCCCTGTGGAGAGCTGAGGAGAAGTTTGAAGCAGAAGACTACATCTACACACAAAATCATAAACAGATCTCCAAACTTAGCAGTGAATGGCAAAAGGTAAGAAAGAGATTGGATAAATTAGCATCATGCCTTTCGTGTAAATTAAAATACCTGCGTACCCAAAGATATTAAAAGTTTTGCAACATGTACAAATAAAGAGATTAATAGTAAACACATGGTAAAGCTGTCCATAGTGAAAGATGGGAGTGGAGGAAACTACACATAACTAGTTACAGGTATGGGAAAGAGGTCTTGCCCAAACGCATGGACTATGAGGTCACTGTACCGCAAAAGATAACAATGAGTAATTTAACCTTTTTGTTTCATTAAAGATACAGTTGTTGCAGAATCTGGCTAGATGCTGACCACCCCTTTCCCTCTTTTAATGCCTACAGGAAGATGACATTTCTCATAATTCATTGTAGCTTACCATGGGGACTTATAACTGGGTTAAATGTGTGTGGCCCGTGATGTATGCCAATTCCAGCCCTGACTATAAAATGTCCATTGTGTTCCTACACTCTGTCTCATAGATGTTAAGAGTCCTCAATGAATGGCCCTGGTTCCCTGAGCCACTGCCTGAAAGATGGGTGCCCAGAAGGGTCACCCTACCATATGTGTCTGAAACACCCATGAAGATTACCCTTTTGCTATGATAACTGATGGAGGTTTCGGGCAGCTAAGGATTATGGCTAATATGGTAAGGCCTGATGAAAATGGTGTTTGATAAAGATAGATACAGAAGCCTCATGCGCATTTTCTCGTTAAAGGAGGAGGAAGAGGAAGAGAGGTGAAACCCAGGATGAAAAAGGTGTGTGGGTCTTGATTTGAATTAATGATGAGATCTTAGGTTAGAGTGAAAGTGAATGCAAGTGAAAAAGGAATGAAGGCACAGGTGGATGCCACAAGGCGCAGAATATATGAATTCAGAGGGATTTGAAATCTGAACGGAAGAAGTCAATGCTGGGAAACTTGAGTAATCAGGTGAGAGAATGCCAGTGGCAGCCACAGTGATGTAAAATGGTGATCCCTTGGTTAGTTTTTGCCTTAGGCAGGGTTGGATCTACTGGATATCACTGCTCACTATCTACATTCTTTCCTGAGTTACCTCTCTCACTCTCTTAGCTATGAAAATATTTATATGCTAAAAAATTGCAAGTTATTATATCTGGCCTTGACCTCTTTGGTGACCTTTGGTGTATATCAATTATATACAACCACCTACCTTTAACCCCACATGCGTATCTAATAGGCAAATGCAATTGGCAAGTCTTGACTTTCTCCCCCAAATTTACTTTTCACATAGTCCTCTCTCATCTTTTATAGTGTCTTCAGCATTTACTAGTTATTTCTGGCCAAAAGCCTATATCCCCGGGATTCTTCTGTTTCTCTTTCTAGCAGTCCCTCAATAGTGGAAAAGAATCTAAACTACCAGCAAGTTGAATTTAGTCTTCCTCTAAAACATCTCCCAGATCCAACTACTTATTAGTATCTCGATGGATCCCCCTTTAATTTACAGTCCTATGATCTGTCCTCCAGATTATTTCAATAGCCTCCCAAATGGGTCTTGCTACCATTTAGGAGAGTATGACATTTAAAAGGTTTAAATTGCTCTTAAAAATGCAGGTTGGTTGGCCGGGCGCTGTGGCTCACGCCTGTAATCCTAGCTCTTGGGAGGCCGAGGCGGGCGGATTGCTCAAGGTCAGGAGTTCAAAACCAACCTGAGCAAGAGCGAGACCCCGTCTCTACTATAAAAAAAAAAAAAAAAATGCAGGTTGGGAAATGAAATGAGAGTAACTTGGGTGAGGGCATATCTAGATAGGGAGTCAGGGAAGAGATATTTGAGCAGGTGACACTGGAATTTGAATAATTAGAAGGTGTGGATTGAGCAGTGTGCAAGGAAGGGATATGATGGACAAAAGAAACAAGTGTAAATTCTATGTGGTGGGAAGCAGCTTGATGTTTTGAATAGTGCCAGGAAATGAACGAGGTAGATCAGGTAAGAAAGGGACACACAGGCCAAATCTCAGATCTGGTAGGATTTGAAAGAAACTTGGGTTTATTCAAAGTGCAGTGGAATGTCATCGAGTTTCACCTAAGTCTTGGGGGAAGAAATAGGGAAACAAATTTGAAGCTTGAGAAAGCAGAGATTAACTTGGTGTATGGGTGAAACGTGTGATATTAACAAGAGTTAAATGCTAGCAGATGACTCATTTTAAAGGACTAAGCTACACATTCTCAAAGGATTTATAACTTGGTGGTTATTTGTCAGTAATGCGTAGTTCCTTCATTTAATAAGGAGTCGAACTTGATAAACTATAAAGTTCCTTTACTGTCTTCTAAAGCAGTGGTCCCCAACCTTTTTGGCCCGAGAGACCAGATTCATGGAAGACAGTTTTTCCACGGATGTGTGGGGGAAGGGCAGAGTTGGGAGGTGGAAGCAAAGCTCTGTGGCCCAGTTCCTAACAGGCCACAGATCAGTACCATTTATTGTATTGCTTTTATTTATTTATTTATTTTTGAGATAGAGTCTCACTCTGTTGCCCCAGCTAGAGTGCTGTGGCATCAGCCTAGCTCACAGCAACTCAAACTCCTGGGCTCAAGTGATCCTCCTGCCTCAGCCTCCTGAGAAGCTGGGACTACAGGCATGTGCTACCATGCCTGTAGTCCAGCCCAGCTATTTTTTCTATTTTTGATAGAGACAGGGTCTCGCTCTTGCTCAGGCTGGTCTTGAACTCCTGAACTCAAATGATCCGCCCACCTCTGCCTCCCAGAGTGCTAGGATTACAGGCATGAGCCACTGAACCTGGCCCATTTACTATGTTAGATCTGATAGAGTCATCACAGAGATCTGAGCTGTGGTTATTAAAATTGATCCTTCTACAGCTGGTCTCCTGGCTGCCATTATTAACTCCTGCTGAACAATCTGTCCACCCCAACTGTCACTTTCCACTCATTGTTATATTCCATATCGAACATCTCATTGAAGTTTAAGGTACACACAAAAAGTACACATATCAAATGCATACAAGTTTAATGATTTTCACAAGATAAATGTACCAATTTAACCAGTCCTAGATAAGAAATAGAACATTGCTCTCACACAAGAAGTCCATGTCCTGCCCTGTCCTACTTTACTCCCACCAAAGATATCAAATATTATTATTTTACCACCATAGATTATTTTAATTGTTTTGAGCTTTATAAAAATTAAAATCACACACTATGCAATCCCATGTCATATAACCTTTCCTTCATGTTGTTGCATGAGGCAATAATTTGTTCTCTCTCATTGCTGAATAGAAATTGATGTGAATATACCACAATTTATTTTTTTCATTCTACTGTTGATAGATATTAACCTAGACCTGTGATCTAAGAAAGATTAATTCTTTCACATTTTTCATTAGACTGCTTCATTCATTCATTCAATGATTCATCCTGTTATATGAATTAGTGATACAGATTTTATAAGTGACACTCACTGCACATGAGGACTTACACTGCAAGCATGAAATGATGACCAGTCTAATAGTGTCCATAATCATTTACTTCACAAGTCTAGGTGGTTCATTTCATTGCCAAGACCAATAACACTGCTTCGGATATTTGTGCTTTCAAACATACAGCTACCTTCTTTCTCAAAACCCCAGTATTTAATTAACTCCTACTCAAAAACCTCTAATTTTGTAATCTCCTCTGAAAATCCCTTCCTGAAACTTTGTTGAATCTGATTTAGATTTTTTAATGTACTCTTTTATGCAATACAATGAACAGATTTATTATACCAAACTATCATTTCCAGTTCACATATCAAACACTCTCACTCAGTTAGAGCTCCCTGGAGTCAGAAATAGAGATCAGCACAGATCACAATGCAAAGTACACAGAGCTCAGCAAATATTTCTAAAATAAAAGAATGAATATATCATCTGATAAACACCCCAAAAGAAAGTGAGATGACACTCACCTGTCTGAAAGATAGCCGAATATCACACTTCCCAGAAGCGACCCAGCCATAAATAGGGACTGAACCACTGATTTTTGTGACTCCCATTCACATACCAGGTCCCACTGGAAGAGAAGGAAAGCAGCACAGCAGAGTTGGAGAAGAGTTTGAGCCCTTTGGTGGAAACTGACTCCAAAGTCCTACATAGGATGTGAACGACCCTCTGCTATGAGGGTCCTGCCCCCATCTCCAGCTTCGTCTACAGCCACTCTCTTCTGCCGGCCCACACTCTGCAAATACTGAACTTATTGCAACTCTTCAAAAGCAGCTGGGTCTTGTTCTCATCTCATAACCTTCCAACAGCCTGTATCCATGAGCCTACATGTCTTTATCCATTCTCCCTTCATGCCATCAACTCCTTTTATTGCATTTACTGATATACATTCTTTGAGTATATGATTGAAAACTTGCAGAGAACAAAACCAAAATATTTCCTTTACCAAAATTCAAAAAACTATAGGCAAAAACCTTGTAATTTTTCTAGGAAGGCCACCCTCACCACGTAGGTAACATAAGGTTCCTGCCTTTGGCTTCTTTTCACTGTGAATTCAACTACTACAATAACTCTCATCTTTGGTCACATATTGAAGCACTTGAAGAGCTTTAAAAATGCTGGTGCCTGGGTCTGATGTCAAGAGGTTCTGGTTTACTTGCTCTGAGTATCAGTTTTGCAATGTGTATTGAAAACCACTGACCTAGCATAAGATTTGCCTAAGACTATTTCAATTATTTAAAAAATCATATCCTGAAATTAAAAAAAAATCATAGGTCTTTCTCACTAGTTTTAATGAAATAATAGCAGGTTTATGTTTAGTTTGTTCAATGCATTAGCCTTATTACTTGTACACTTGACTGCATTATAGTGTAGATAAACAATTGCTACCTGCTGAAGGAATGAAGAAAGGGCTGACTACAGTCCCCATCTGGGCACTAAATGTGTAAAGCAATTGCATTCTCTGTGTTACCTCCAGACACCTGGGTCACATAAGGAGAACACGAGGCTTCTTACCTCAGTCACAACGGTGGAGAAGAAGGAGCTTTGCTCATACACCCAGCCGTCCACACAGGGCTCCGTGTCTGGCTCACTCGTGTTTGAGAAGGTCCTGTTCAGGTGAAGGAGCTGCCACTGGGGATGGACGAAGCGACGACACTTCTCCGGCTTCAGGTTCGAGTCCAGGGGGATGGAGATTCTCAGGAGGGCATCTTGGCCGAGGGTCCCGGTGTCATTGTGAGAGACAGTGTCATTGTCCAGGATGTGGACCCAGCAGCGATGACCAGGGACAGCCGCAGTGAAGTTCTCCAACAGAATATGAGGGAACAACAGAATGTTTGCAATACACAAGAAAGCCAGCTGAAGAATCTGGAATCTCCCCAGGCTACCAACTTGATCCAGGAGCACAGCAAAGGCCATCAAGGCCGAACAGGTGATCCCCAAGAGGAAGCACAGTGACCTTATGGAGATCAGTTCAGAAGGAGAAACGATTCCCTTCCACTAAGCACAGTAATACTGTGTTGATCCTGACACCACTTTCTTCTCAATGGGTCTGGTCACACCACTGTACTTGAGCAGTAGGAGTTGCCCAAAGGCCTTCAAGTTTAGGCAGCTAGAAAGTTTCAGTGAAGTTACAGATATAATTATTTGTCAAAGAGTCTTTTAGCTGTTGGCCACTAAACCTGCTTAAAGGACTGCTCTGTGAAGGATTCCTGGGAAGCCAACAGTGGTCTTTCAAGTAGCTGAAATCTCCATGCAACCTAAAATATACCTTTTCAGTGGCCTGCCATTCTTTTCAGAAAAGGGATATTGGAGACTTAAAAGCAAGCTGCTTTATGATGTTTTGTGCAAAGAACAGAGACCATAGCTTTTTTGGAAACTACTGAAGTGTCACTAGAAGTTAATGACAATTAGTTATTCTTAGTTAAAATAAAACAAAGTGGAATGTTGGATGCAAATGTTGGCTTTTGGTAACTGAAGTTTTGCTTCAGTTCAAATCATATGATGGACAGTTATTTTAAATTTTTTGAAGTGGCAAATGAGCATAATATGCAGAGAGGATGGAAATAGTGCTTTTTATTCAGAGATGGGGTCTCACTTTATTGTCTAGTCTGTTGCCTTGCACGGGGTACAATGGCACTATCATACCTCGCTGTAATTCAAAGTCCTATCCTCCATGGATTGTCCTGTCAGGCAGCATTCTGAGTAGCTGGGACTACAGGTGCAATGTAGCATGTCTGGTTAATTTTTAAATATTTTGTAGATACAGGGCCTTCATGTGTTGCCAAGGCCGATCTCGAAATCCTGGCCTCAAGTGATCTTCCATGTTCAGCATCCCAAAGTCCTCGGATTACAGGTGTGAGCCACTATGCCGCGTCAGGAGATAGTACTTTATGTAATAGTTTATTTCACTAGATTTATTGATTAGTTCAAATGACATTTTGGACTCTTTGCTGCTATAGCTATGAAAAGCAATGCTATTTATTTATATATTTCATATATGTATTTATAAATGTATAAATAAAATGTGAGGTCAATGTGACAAGGTCTCATATTCCAGTTAACAAGAGATAGCTACACAGGAAATGACATTACAATGTCATAAGACAAGAAAGATACACCGTATGCTGTGGAAGAATTAAAGAAAATATGTTTTATCATTCCTAGGTGGATGCCGTGAAGAAGGTCAGTCACCCCTATAGAAATTAACTTTTGCCTACTCTAGAAGGAAGATTCTAGAGACAATGAAGCAGTGGATGAAGAATGGAAAAGAGAAAATTTATGCATGAGAGGACAATATGTACACAATTACAGCAAAAGGCCATGGCATTAGTTGTGCACCTACAAGATGTTCAAATGCTAGAAACTAAGAACATATAGGTTAGTAATGGGAGAAGATAGTTGAATTTTTTTAAAAAACCCTCAAATAAAATCCCTAGAATGTATTCTGCAGAGTAGATCATCTTATTCTGGAATTTGAAATTCATTACCTATGGAACATCTTAAAATGAAGACTCCTGTCCAGCCTGCAAAGATTCTCTTTCAGGAAATGTCTTCGATGGATCGGTTCTGAAGGAGAGAGCTAAAGAACCACCAGGTGCTGCTGTGCAGTGTTAGGAAGGGTAATGTCTTAGTTCAGTAAAGCTACCAAACAAAATACCACAGACTGGGCCACTTGAAAACAGGAATTTATTTTCTCACAGTTCTGAAGACTAGAAGTCCAAAATCAAGGTGTCAACAGGTTTGATTTCTTCCGTGGCCTTTCTCTTCGGCTTGCAGATGGCTTGTTTCCTGCCACATCCTCGTGTGTCCTTTCCTCTATGCATGTGCTTCCCTGGTGTCCCCTCATCTTCTTACGATGACACCAGTCATATGGGATTAGGATCCTACTCACGGGGCCTCACTTTAACTTATTTCCAGTTATATGTAGGAATACAGTTATATGTAGGAATTTTGGAGGGACACAATTCATCCCATAATGGGGTTATACAATCAGATTTCTATTTTACTAAACTTACTGATGCTATATAGAAATAGTGAGAAGTGAATTTTCCAGTAAGGCAAACCGTTCCAAGTCATGTGAGTAAAATGATATAAATAATAATAATTACAGCTGACTATTCCCTGAGTCAATACAATTATAAGCAGTTTCATTGTGTTCCTTCCTTTAGCTCTCACCCTTATCATCTACTTTTTACCACTGAGAAACAGAGGAACATTAAGTAACTTGCCAGGGGATATAGAGAGTATAAGTGATAGACCCAGAATGTGGACCAAGGTGGTCTAACTCCCAAGACAAGTCTGTTACTCACTTTAATTGACTAATTTTCTTCTCATAAATCCAATGATTGATTTCATGTTGAGAAATAATAAAGGTATATCTAGAGTTGGAATGGCTGGGAGAGAATAAACTGAAATCATTTTGTGCCCATCTCCCAAATCTCCCAGGAAACAGAAATTTAAGGAGAAGAAATTAGTAATTACCATGGTGACCCAGTGTAGAAACAAAATGGAATGGGAATGAATGCTCCATAGACCAAACAGTAATTCATCCCAAGAGTAATGGGGAAATGAAGGCACATGCAGAGAAAAAAGTATTAATAATGGCAATCATGATCACTAGTAACATATTGGTACTTCTTATGTGGCAAGCACTGGGTAGATGCTTCTTATGCTTCTGTCATTTACTCCTGACAATGATTCTGTGAGATGGGTATTACTTCCCTTGGTTTACAGGGAAAATGTAAGAAGGGGAAGTCTTGTAAGGTTTAGTTCACTGGGATAGTAAGATGTGAACACAGTATAAACCCTAATAAAACCTAGCAAGAAAGACTAATCTGTGGCCAAGGACTAACAAGGTAATTAGGAAACTATGCATAGGCTGGGCGCAGTGGCTCACGCCTATAATCCTAACACTCTGGGAGGCCGAGGCGGGTGAATTGCTCGAGGTCAGGAGTTCGAAACCAGCCTGAGCAAGAGCGAGACCCCGTCTCTACTACAAACAGAAAGAAATTAATTGGCCAACTAATATATATAGAAAAAATTAGCTGGGCATGGTGGCGCATGCCTGTAGTCCCAGCTCTTGGAGGCTGAGGCAGTAGGATCGCTTGAACCCAGGAGTTTGAGGTTGCTGTGAGCTAGGCTGACGCCATGGCACTCACTCTAGCCTGGGCAACAAAGTGAGACTGTCTCAAAAAAAAAAAAATTAAAAAAGGAAACTATGCGTAGCCATGCAAACTCCTCCCTGTAAAATTCTCACTCCATCAAGGCATCTTTAATTTATAACTATGATTATTTGTAGGACAAAATAACCCCAGGCACTTTAATGTGAGTGTGAGAAGTTTGTTTTATCCAAATAGAAGAGCAGTGAGAGCCACTCACTCTCTTACCGGGGTTGAATTCCCACTGGGCTCCACCACTGCTCCTCTCCGGCTCTCTTCTCTCTCTCTTCTCTCTCTGGGTTTTGTGCTATGGGCTCTTACAAATATCCTCTACCCATCTTGCCTTTCTTCCACCATTACTGCTCTTTGCTGGCTTGATCTAAGGTTTCATTGATTTGCTTCTGTGCTCAGCTGTTTCCTTTGGTCTCATTGACACTTTTCAATATTACAAGCAGGCAAGAGTTGTATTCACATGCATGTTTGCTTAGTGGAGACAAACGGTATGGAAGCACTAGAGAAGCTTCAGTAAGGCAAGACTGCTGAAAAACCAAGGCCTGCTCAGCAAGCCTCCATAGAAAGACGCCCCAGGAAGATCCGACCTCCATGCCTGAAACCACCTCCCAGCCCATCAGTGGGAAATCAGCACTTCCCCACCTTTGGCAGAGGCAGGAAGCCCAGGACACAGGCAAAATAATTCTGTAGTGTTTAGATATTGCTCCATCCAACAATCGCCAAACTCCTGACAAGGAAACAGACAGTTAGGTCTTCCAATTTCCAAAACAAAACTTGTTTTGGAACTTGTGATGACCCTACCTTCTCCCTGAGCCACGGCCATATTAACTGATAATATTGGCAGGAATAAGTCCCTTCTCATTTTCTTCCCTTCCATTTACATTTTAACACTATCCTATCAGTTATTCATCACTAAATTTGTGCTTAGAAAGGGAAGGTCCCAATGCTCCTCCCTTTTTCATATTCAATATCAATTGGTTACAGTTGACCAATTACTCTTCTTGGAAATAGTTTTCTTTTTGACCTCTGAGACACTTCTCCTATTTTTTGTTTAACTAGTCATTCTTGGCTCACTTTCAGTCTGCTATGCTAATTCATCAAAGGATTGGAGTTTTGGAGCTCATTTATTGAAAACTTTCTCTTCTTTACATATATTTCCTAAATTACATAATAATGGCTCTGTCTGAATGTGTGGCATGTTGCTGCAAAGGAATACCCGAGGCTGAGGATTTTACAAAGAAAAGAGATTTGGCCAGGCACTCACTCTAGCCTGGGCAACAAAGTGAGACTCTGTCTCAAAAAAAAAAAAAAAAAAAAGAGAGAGAGGTTTATTTGGCTCACAGTTATGCAGGCTGTACAAGAAGCTTGGCAATAGCACCTGCATCAGGTGAGGGTCTCAGGTTGCTTCCACTCAAAGTGGAAGGCAAGGGAGCCAGCAAGTACAGAGATCATATGTAGAGAGAGGGAGACAGAGAATGAGGTAGAAGATGCCAGTTTCTTTTTTTAAGAGCCAGATCTCTTGGGAACCAACAGACTGAGAATTTACTTTCCCCTCCTCACCCCAAGGAGGGCATTAATCTATTCATGAAGGGTCTAACCTCATAATCCAGGCTCAACCTTCAACATTGGAGATCACTTTCAAAAGAGATTTGGAGCGGTCAAGTATCCAATCAACAGTGGGTTCCCAGATTTGTAATGCCAACACAATCTCTTCCCTGAACTCCAAGTTTTTAAACTTGCCTTACCTTCAGTTGACACCCATGATCTGACTTTTCCTAAGTACCAGCCCTACTCCCTCTAAAGTCAATGTTACTCTTGTTCTTCACCTGGACTAATGCTCCCTCCCCATTCTTCCTCATAAATTCAGGTGTAAACCTTTTCAAATTAGTCGTGTCATGTCCAGTTTCTGCTCACCTATCTCCCATGGCTTCCACCTCCTGTAGAATAATGCCCACCAGCTTACCTTTAAGGCCTATTACATTTAGTCCCCTCTTTACCTGTGTGACCTCATCTCACTTGGCTGCAGTCACCCTGGCCTTTAAGTTTCAAATCATGCCAGACAAATCCCACCCCAGGATTTCTGCATTTCCTTTATCTTCAAAATGCTTACCTCAAGTCCCTCAGATTTTTTGATTCACTGCTCAAATGTTACCACATCCAAGAGGCATCCCCTGTGCATTCTCCTTACCTATTAATCTAGACCTCATCTCTCACCAC